CCCCCCAGGGCAGTGCTACTGACTGAAGTGACCTTAGGCCACTCCTAAAGGGGGGATATTAACATGTTTTTATGCGCAGTAGAATTGTAAATGGGCTGATTTATCAATGTCAAGCTTATACTGTGCCGGAACAGCATTGGGAAACTGCTGCTTTTTCTGTCCTCATCCTTACTTTTGTTATTTTTCCTCTACTCCTTTTGTATGTTTGTCACTCTCGTGTAAACTGCTATTTCCCGGGTGCCTTGATAGTCGTAGCACACTTTGCGCCGTTGAGGCAAGAGAGATGAGAAGAGTAAGCCTGATTCCCCGTTCAGACTTCTCTGTTAACATCCACCCCTTGGCACTCCTATGACCTTATGCAGTTGCGAGCGCCGTAAAACCTTACTCTCTTGAGTCACCTTTACTCTTCGGCACTTAAGTGACCCAGATATGTTGTAAACGACAAGAATTTTACTCAAAACGAGACTACGTGGACCGTGTAACTCACCTGAACTCCCCCAGGGAATGGTGGAGGCGAGGCTTGGACTGGCAGAGACTCTAGAGATGAAGACTGAGACGATGATGACGATGAGAGGGCGTGTGAAGTAGATTGAGCGACGAGAACGAGAACGACGTAAAATAGACGGCAGCGCGTGCCAGAAGGTCCAGGTTTGGTCTGTCCCATGTCGTGATGTCGTTTGGCGGGAAACTAAACTTCAAAGTTTGTGCACAATATTTGACGTTCTTGCTTCTGGTTCTTTCTTTAGTTTATCTGTAAGTAAATCTTCTCCGAATACAAAGTAGAACTTGCTTGATTGATCAGGTTGGATGAAAATGCAGGTTTACTTTTTACCTGAAAGAAACGAGAAAAATAATTAAAATACATTTTGGCTTAGTTTCACGGCAGTAGCAACATAATTAGGTAATATACGTGACGAAGATTAGAGATGTTCCGGGAGAGTAACAGCCAACGAAAAGAAGGAGGGTTGATTGCAAGAGTAACACACAAAGAGAAGATGGAGGGTTGATTATGACGATAAATGTTTAATCGGACAGAGAAAGACGGAGTAGAGCATGCTGAGGCGCTTGCCTATAGCCCACATAAAAGATAAGAACAAACATATGTTTAAAAAAATAAGTAAACATTTGTGACATTTTTTTAAACAAGAGCAAGTGCAACGCGTGCTGCATGGTTACCGGTCTCTCTGGTGTAACGGTAAGTGATGTGACGATAAGAGGTGTAACGTAAGTGGTGTAACGGTAAGTGATGTGACGGTAAGAGGTGTAACGGTAAGCACATTGCCGTCGAACTCGGAAGACCGGGGCTTGATTCCAGTGTGGCGCATAATATTTTTTTTAAAATATAGCTTCTCTGTCTGTTTGCCGGGAACCCAGATGGCCGCCAGATCGGAAAAGTAAGTACACAGACGTAAGTCTGTTTGCTGGGACGCTGCGTCCCTGTCAGTCCGCTTTGACTTTGACATGCCGTATCGAAGCAGATCGCTTTCTTTAACGATCTATACTGTATTGAGGGGTCTTTAAGATATCTGCAATTACAAACATAAGTTGAATCATTGAAAAGAATCCGTTGAGAAATCGAGGGCGATTTGAGATGGTTGTGTGGGCTATGACTGGACAGATCCCAGTACTGTCTCTGATTCCTTATGCGTAATATAGAGTGCGACGTAGTCTGTACATCTGAAAGACTCTACCCAAAATGAAAGCAATGATTATAACGGCTGTAATATTTTCCGTCATTTTCACACAATTTCGATAATTCAGGAGGTGGGCTGTTTCAAACCTGCCATATAGGCGAACCAGGGCTCAATAGAAGTCAAACGTCGTTCCTTGTCCCCTTCTAAAATGTTTTATTAAAGGTTTTTATTGTCTAAATCAATACGGAATGCTTTGAAACAGCCTGCAGGGGCCAGTTTAGATTTAAGTGGGGAAGCAACATCTGAGCAAGCATACGAGGTCCTTGTTGAAGTAATTATTCTGCTTGGGAATTGAAATCTGGTCTTTTGCGAGAATCGCGCGAGAAACTTAGAAATTACTCCAAGACACCAGAAACCTAAAATACCTGCGTGTAAGATAATATGTTGCAAAGCATCAGATCGATTAAAATCATTGCGTTTATATGAAGGTATAGGCACGAGTTTGTGGGAATGCGTTTGTTATGAGTGTATATGCATTTATGTAAGGGTGTGCACAAGCATATATGCGTGAGTGTGAGTATGGTTGAGGAAAGAAGTGGGAGGGGGGTGATACTTTTTTATATGCTTGTGCAAAATGTGCATTTTTGTGCCAGTATTTGACAAGGGTTCCTGTACTTGGGAAAACAGAGAGGGTGGAGGGATTGGGGGGGGGGGGGGAGAGAGAGAGAAATAAGGCTTGGATAAACACAGCCATGTAGGCACTTGAAGCACGCGAAGGCGAGGTAAGTATCGCTTTCCCTCCAGCAAAAATCAAGTGACCTTTTGCATCTGCCCGCAGGAGATCTACACTCAAAATACAGAACAGTTAAACTATTTTAAAACGCAAGAACTCCACAAACTTGTTACGCAAAATAGCAAATCATCGCGTATAATCATCCTTATCGTATGTCAGGGTTCTTTATCTCTGTAGGGACACGATGACCAGACAACCTTTTCCTGGGGGTCCTGCTGAAAGGATCCTCAACGCCGTCATACGTGAAAATATTTCATTTTCATTAAAGGTGATAGGTGGTATCTAATATCGATAAAATAATATACGTAAAAAAGGCTTTATAGAAACTTGTTTCACGATTGCACAATGTATTTGATTAAGCGTTTGTTGTAATGTCATGCAGGTCTTCTTAACTTTGAAAAGTTTCCCCAAGTACATTTACATATTATATTCCCCCCCTCCCCCACCCACCCCCCTCTCTCTCTCTCTCTCTCTCTCTCTCACTCTCTCTCTCTCTTCCCCCCCCCCTCTCTCTCTCTCTCTCTCTCTCTCTCTCTCTCTCAAAACCACACGCTCACTCATACACAAACACGTACACACACGCCCACCCACACAAATGCCCACGCACACGCATACACGCACACAGACAAACACACACACACACACACACACACACACACACTCGCGCACAAAACTCAATAAACACTCACATGTGCGCAAGTGACAGCAGGCATATATGGGATATTTGTTTATTTATAACGATGACGTGCGCCTGTTGTGATACAAGCAGCCAGAAGAGTTTTTTATCTCACATGTTTCATAATTTGCATGAGTGAGGCAGCGTGGTGGAATCAGGCTCTTGTCAAAATAATCAAAATGAAGAAACTTGCATTTTTCCGCAGGTTTATGAATTTTTATTAAATTTTTGTTTTTTGGCTCAACACCTTTCATGCCCATTAAAGAACTCATTTCCGAGTGGATTTTTCTGAAAAACGTTGATTAAATGCACAGAAAATGTAAATTTTCAGTTACTACGGACTCTTAAGCTAAGGAAATAACTAACCTTTGGTGTCCATTTTCTCACTAATTTTACCTCTGAAAACAGGTGATCCCCACCTCCTCCTTTAGTAAATATCTCGACTTGTCTTCAAGATAAATGGATACTTTTTTCATCCAAGTAAAGACAAGTGAACAAGCTTTAAGATGACACCAATAGCTCTACATGCCCAAAAATTGACGAGAGACTGATTCCACCACGCTGCCTCACTTGAGTATATAGTCTCAGTACTGACTAACTCTATAAAAGCATAATAAACGACCACAATTGGAAAAGAATCGAAATCATTAACTTAGGATTATTAAGTAGTTCCTATAACATTTACACTTCTGTCCTGGGTTACAGAAAAAAAGAAGAAGAAGAAGAAGAAGAAGAAGAAGAAGAAGAAGAAGAAGAAGAAGAAGAAGAAGAAGAAGAAGAAGATAATTTTTAACAGAGAGTACAGTAATTGAGGAAAAAAAAACCCGCACCAAACTCTCTCTTTAACTTTTTGATGTCCTTCTAAACTTTCAAATACGTGACATTTGTTGTTCATGTTTTTTTTTTATCGATTTCGATAGAGGTGTTGTCTTTCACTAGGATCACTGTAGTGTCTATATCATTGATGTGGATTCGGTACAATGAAGACATGAATTAAACTCACCCCGAAAACCCAAATGTCCAAATCTGCATGTAACGAGTCAAATCAAATCTGTATCGCGAAAGAGTCCCTAATATGATGCCAGGTGTCACTTGCAAGTATTTGAGATTGTTCTAAACGATATTACAGTTTTTTAGTAAGGCCTCACCTGGGATCTTTAAGTTACACAATCCCTTACGGACGACCTCTTTGTAATAACCTAAAGAAACAAGTAAGAAAGCAATTAACTTGGATATTGCAATTATCGTTTAGTCTCTTCAGAGTTCGTTTTGAGGTGATGCGCAACTTTTAAAAAAGCCATGACAATTAAAGACACCATTTTAGAATATTAAATTAGAAATAAACATGACGACATCAAATTCTTGTTAAATTCATGAAATGTCTATTATTTGAACAAAAATGTGCCTTATTCCGGCTTTCGAAAATTTATGAAATCCGTGGAGGCGTACAACGCTTTCAGTATTTTACCCTCACAGAAACGTGTCCTCGCTCTTTCGCAATGTATATTTTACTCCCCGAAGCCAAATAACATCAATTTCCTGTGACGAGTCGGGGCAGAGGGATGGCGTTTGAAGACGACTTTCTTTTCGTTATGCCGGAGGCAGGAGAAGACGCAACTAAGTCGATTGAAGAGCGAGAACTAGCTGGATTGCCAGCCTTGACAATTAATCTACATTAAAGCGATTGTGCTCGGTATTATTTTTCAGTGTGAAAAAAGAAAAGTAATGTTTTACAAAAAATAATAAGGCCATAGTTAAACTTTAAAAATACAGTATCGCTATTCTAGATGAAGAAGAAGACGTGATGTATGAAAGATTACATTATACCATTAAGAGAGATTACAGCACAAAAAAGACAACAAAATTCCATGCGCGTACAATAATAAGAAAAAAGGAACTTCACGTTTGACAGATCCGGCCCACTAGCTTGAACTGCAGAAGCAAACTTTGTACTTTTATCTCCTCGTTCAGAGTCCGTCGTGTAATAGCTGTAGTTAATCGAACTTCCAATTTTGTGCCAATGTTAGTAATGTTGACCCTCGATATGAAATCAAACAAGTAATTATATTATACCCTAAGTGTAAAAAAAAAATGTTCCCTCACATTGACACGTCAAATAGAAGCATCGATCGGCTTAAATTCCGACAACACTGTACTGTCTTCTTGAAAACGTTTCGTCATAATATTCAGTAAATTCTAATATTACCTGCTTGGACTCTTACTCGTTCTGCAGTGAAGGCCAGACACGTAATACTCATCATTTTTTGGAGTCATTGCTCAATGTCAACACAACAGGCACTTGAGAGGCGAGACCATCAAACTGAACATCCGATAGCACCAAACACGATGGGTCAGAAAGTTTGAGAATTTCCCGAATAACCCAGAACGCCCAGCAGGGTGAATCGTACCAGAACCATGCCAGCCTATCCTATCTGAAAGTGTAATTAGGAACAATTTGCACAGTCAAAGTATAATTTAGTGTTATTAATCGTCCCAGCAACCCATATCGCTAACTTGCACTTCCACCCTCAGAGCTCTTAATGCCGGCGTGTACTTTATTTTAAGGTTTCATTTTATGCTCTGACCATTAACAATACAGAAGTGTAACCTTTGTCTTATCTATTTCTCTATCTTGTGCTACCCTGCCCCCAACACCACCTCTTTTTATTTTGCCTTCAATCTGTTAATATAGAAGCGAGCGGAAGTACTTTAATGTCTGATACATTTCT